CCCGCCCCCCCCCAAAACTCCCCGTCCCCCCCCCCCCCGAAAAGCAGGGCCCTAGCAGGATGCGGACACACAGGAACACGTCCCCCGTACCAGGGGTCACTCCAACAGACGAGGGGCTGCGAACATCTCTCGGGAAGGAGGAGCTGGGGACAGAGGGGACCACCTGCCAGGGACTTTGGCCAGCAGCGCAGACACCAGGCACTGCGCCGTTCCAGCATCCACCCCAGAACCCCCCTGCTTCTCCACCCGACTCCTCTGCCTGCAGCACAGAGCATCAGGCAGCCTGCCTGTGGCAACTCCACCCCAGCTCACCCTGCGAGTCCTCAGGCGGCTTGTACAGGGCTTTGGCTTCCTCCACGCTCCCTTCAATGGCCACCACGAGCTTCTTATCTACAGAGGAGATGTGAAAACTAAGCTACGAACCCCACTTCTGTATGGGGAAGGCAGTTAGAAGCAGCCCTGCCCCGGAAAGCTCCGCGGCAGAGGAAGCTCAAACGAAGGGTCAGTGGGAAGGGGCAATTGTCCAGAGGGCTCCGTGGGGCCACCGCAGGGCTGGATCTCCTGGGTAGGACGGGGTCGGAGGAGGGAAAACGCTGGGTTTTGAGGGACTGTCCCTGGAAACCCTAAAGGCCAAATCTTTACCGAGAGCCAAAAGGGGTTGGGGTCTGGCTGGCACAAGCAGGGAGCGAGGAGCTGAGTCGTCAGGCCTGCAGGTGCTGCTCTGCAGGGAGCTGGTGTGGCCAAGTGCCCCAGCGTGGTCCTTCCACGCCCCTCCGCCGCCTGCCCCACTCCCAGAGCAGCGTGAGAGCTGCAATCCCACCTGTTCTCAGGCTACGCTACAGCCCTCTCCGCACAGGAGATGCCGGCAGCCCAGGGGGATCCTGAGCCCTGCTGGGAAATCCCTCCCGACTCAGGGAGGCTTCAGAAAGCCCCTCGAAAGGCAAAGCAGCCTAAGGGGATGAAGGCTTTCAGGTGAGCTGCGGGAAGGGCCTCTGCGAGGCCAGGCGGAGGTATCGCCTGCTCTGGAGTCACCGCCACCCACGGGTGGCACAACGTAACACCCACCCCACGGGGTGACAGCTCTCGGGAGGCCGCGTCAGCATCGAGCCAGCCCGC